CTTCTTCCACCCGGACCCGCGCCCCGCTCCGTGGGCTTTGCCTCATTTGCGGGGCGGAGCGGGGCTGGCCGGGGGACAGCGGATCCTCTGCTCCTTCCCCGGGGTCGGGAGCTGCCGGCAGTTTAGGGCTGGCTGGCTTATTCCTGCGGACGGGGAGAAAAAGGAAGCAAACGCCCTCCCTCCCCCTCGGTTTTAATCCGAGATAATAATGCACTCGGGAAATTTTAAGCCTTCAGACAAATGACCCCAGGGGATGGCTTTGTGAATTCAGAGCAGATCCCGCTTGTTTCCTCAAGGCGGCAAGCCAGGAAATCATGGATTGATGAACCGCTTGACGGGCCTGCTAATGAAATTAGCAGCAGCTCCATGATTTTTTCAGTGAGCGGGACAGGCAGATGTTGAAGGGAAGCACACAATGGCACAGCTGCACTTGCAGGCTGCCTGGATTCCTGGCAGAGCGGACACGGGGCTCAGCAGACACAGCTTTGGCTGCTGCCCATTTCACAGGTGGTTTTACCTTTCCCTGCACTGCTAAGGCTCTCCTGGAGGTGGGGAGCAGAGGGTTGCCGAAGGCTGCTCCTTAGGGCTGGCATCCAGAAGGAAAACCCAAGGGTACCCACTGTAAGGGTCTGCTCAGTGCCCTGCAGTGACTTGCCCATGCACCACAATGCACCGAGCTATTTGGCCATATATTATTAATTGTTTCTTTCTTTTAGATCTCTCCCACTGCCAAAAATAATCCCCTGGACAACAGAAGCTTTCTCAGCTGTGGGTTGTGGATGGGAGAGGTCAAATATGGAGCAAATATATTGAAATTTGGAGAGGTCATACCAGGGGGAAATGTGTGTGCTTCACCAGGCAGCCCCCCATGCAGTGCCACTGAAGCAGGGAAGCCCCCTGACTTTTGCAGAGATGTTTTCTGCTACCAGAGGGTGCATCTTCTGGCCTCACCTGCTTCTACCAGAGCTGCGGGAAAGGAGCTGGGATGCTCAGGCGAATCAACCATAAATGTGTTGTGTGATGCTGGGTTTCTCTCCCCTCTGAGCGTCATTTCTAGGAATGAAATCGTCATCCCTGGATGATACCCAGAAAAAGCTCTCTCATCGACCTCTGGGAAGTGCAAGTGCCCATTTCACAGCTGGGGAAAATGGAGACAACTCAGCAGGACACAACAGTGATGACTCCTGCCTCCCAGAAGCCTGCTTTTTGTTTCTCTTAAGATGTTCATGAACAGGCCATTTGGAGCAAGCCCCAAAATAACCTCTTCTTAGGCTGTGGACAGCAGGGCTGGACACTGCAGCACAGGAGACCACCTAGCTTTGTCCATTCTCCAGAGGGAAGTTAAGTCAGCAGGCTGCAAGCAAGGTTTGTGTGAGTTTGGACCAGAGGATTTTGGGGTTTCAGAGCAGCTTTGAGCCCATGGTCTGGCGTGAAGCCTGAAGTCCTGCAGCACAGCAGGCTCAGCCAGGTGAGATCTGCTGTGGGGTGTGCAGTGCTGGGGGAAAGGTGTGAAGCACAGGGGCTGTGGGGATGGTTGGCTCATGGCTCACCAGGAGCCCAGGTGCCTGTGGTTCTGGCGTGTGCCGTGGCAGGATCAGCAGCACAGCTGCTCTTGGTGCTGCTGCTCTTCCCCACAGTGCTGTGCCTCTGTGACAGTTGCACTGCACTGCTGAGGTGGGGTCTGGCTGTCCAGTCCTGCTCTGTCTTGTGTCTCTCCTATGCACTAGCTGGACCAGAGTCTCTTGAAAATCAGGGAAGTTTGGAAGCAGCTCCACGCTCTCTAGCATGGGCCTCTTTGAGAACTCCCTAGATGGCTTTTCTTCCCCCATCTCCTGCCTCCTCTGCACCCAGGGGAGCCAAGGACTGTGAGTGGTGCTGGTGCTGCCATCCCAGGAGTGAGGCACTGCATGCAGAGGGCTGCTGCAAGCGAGATTCCACCCGTTCTCCAGGGGCTGGGATGTGGAGGTGGTGTAGAAGGTCACCAGCCTCCCATGCAGCTGTTTCCTGGAGGGGGAATGGCTTGCTCATGCTCATTTGGATTCAATAGCTCTGAAATCAAAGCACTGACTGCTTTTCCTGCAGGTATGAGTGGGGTTCCAAAGCAAAGGTTCTGTGCTCAGCTCGTTCTCCTGGTCCACGGGTGATGCTGGATGTGCCATGTCCTGGGGCTGCTCCTGGGAAGTGGCTGGAGAGGGCAGCCCCTACCCACCCACACAGGAGCTGCTGCCAAAGGGGGTGTGGTGGTGCTGGGCAATGTGTGTTTTCTTTGCAGCCCCTGACGACCATCTGAGGACCTTTCTGAGGTGTGGTCTGCCCTTTATAGGAGAAGGTTGGTGCTGAGCACCCAGCACACCGCACAGGCTGGTGGGTGTTGGGTCCCAGTTTTTTCTTGTGGAGCCAAAGCCCTCTATCTCCCTGTCTTCATGTGGACTCTCAGTATGGTGTGGGGGCTGTATCACCATCCCCATGAGCATGTTTCCCAGCCATGAGGAGCAGAACCTAAGTGGATGAATGCACCCCTCTTGTAGGTGTCAGGAGGCTGCAGACCTGCACATCATGCAGGTCCAGGTCAGCCTGTCTGTGAGCTCCCATGGTGTTTGACTCGCTCTCCTTCTTTCCTGGTGCTGCCTTCTCTTTGGTTAAACAGGCAGAAGTACCCAATCCGAAGTACTTGGATTCCT